AGGTAGCTGTAGGGAATGGCCAAGCAGGAAACAGGCTGTCCCATTCCAAAAATAAGCTGATCCTGTCCAAAAAACAAGAGGTTCAAGATATAATTGCCAGCTTGCTGTCGTACCAAATAAGGGAGGAATTGTCCAAACTTCCCATCCATTTGGTTGCTTCTGCTTTAGACACCACCTCTTCATCACATCTTCATAGTCTTTCATTCCACAGACATCTGAAATGTTTATCTGTATTCTCATTCTCCCCCTAGACACAGACACTTCTTGACCTGTGAGTAACACAACAGCAGCGAGATGATCTGATGGAGTGGGCTGGTGTATGTGTTTAGTCCTGTAAGCCTGCTCTATTTTTCCTACAAGTAATGAAGGATTTTGCTTTCTCTTCAGGGTTCCTGGAGATAATGATATACCATAGCCAGCAGAGGTGAACATCTGTTTTAAGAACTGTAAACTTACAAAGACCATTTATCTATCTGATCTTCGTTTCTTGTTTTCCAGTGCGCCCTATCCATTTCTCTGTTAATTAAATAGATGTGAAATCACTAAACCACTGGGTCAAAGAAACAATTAAACAACAACTGAAATAACAAAGTGGGAGGGAGGAGACTATCTTTTCTCTTTTTCCACTCAGCTGATTCTGCTTGGTAGAAATTGTCCTACTTTTTGAGCATGCACTTTCTTTACCTTTCACAGAAAGAAGACTTGGATTCATGAGGGCGTATCCACCTAATGACAATATGGTGGATTTAACCCAAAAGAACAATGCATCCCATTAATCTGCTCATGCTTAATTGGTAAGTACAGTATGGGGCTGGCATTTCAAAGGCAGACAGTAAATGTACTTGCATTAGCTGCTATTTAGTTGATGCAACTGGCACACATATGCACGCACCCTAAAAAAGAGAGCGAGTGAAAGCAAGAAGAAGTCATTATGATTCACCTTTTCCTTTTTAATATTACCCATAGCAGCTATAGGCAAAAAATAATAAGCATGAAGCTACTGCCATCAACCTCTGCACATGTTGGCTGAGGAGAAAAGATTGTCCCTCACCGGCCCTGCCCAGTGCCCTGCAGCAGGCTGGAGCTGGGGAGCCTGGGAGCTGTGGGGCACGGCAGAGCAGGGAATCACCACTGTGGTCCCCCCAGCTTACCTTGCTGCCTCCTTTGCACACAAGTGTGTGGGTAATTGCACGCTTTCCTGGGAGCTCAGCGGGGAAAGGCGGGAACCTCTGACCCAGCCGGTGCCCCCACTGCACCCCTGACTCTGCTCTCTGCCCCACGGGGGGAAGAGCAGCAGGCACAGCAGGGCAGCCCTGGGACCCACAGGTTTCCCAGGAATGGCAGCAGGGAGTGAGGGTGATGCCTATAGCACTGCAGAGAAGGACAGAAGCAGAATCACAAGGAGGCTTTGATCCCTAAAGACAAGAGTATGGACCAGGACTGCTTTGAAGAACAGCGGAGGGCAAGCAACACACTTTTGTTTCACCAGCTGTATTCATCCTTAAACAATACTGGAGGATGTGGGATGGCTTTGCAGGAAGTTGAAAATCACCCTTTCATAAAGCAGAGCTCACCTTCCCCTACAGGCATGAGAAAACAGAAGACTGATAGAATAAAAATTCTTTGGCAGCCCAATACTCATATGACTAGAATATTACCTGTACAAAAATACTTCCCACAAAGCCACAAGCCTCTTTGCTAAAAAGTGAAGTCCCATGCTGTGGACAAGACTATCACAAAAGTAAAGTGAGACAAAAAAAAAAGCTAAGCTTTTTTCTCTCATGTCCTACCTCATTCTCACCACTGCCACCACAATTTCATATCATGTGCACACAAAAATGTTAACTTTAGCCTTCCAGAAACCTCTTTACTAAGTTGTTCCCTGTAAATATGACAGATTAGTTCCTGAGCCTTCTGACTGAATTATTTTCCCCACCCCAACACTATCCATTGTGTGGAGGCTGCAGTCATAATCTGTGAAATGAATGGTACTTGCTATAGTTCTTATAAATAATCTTATCACATGAATGTAGCAGAAATTTGCCCGGTTGAGAAATACAGCTCATGGGACTTAATTCTTGCAAAATAGTATCCCTCTGAAAAAGAGTTTCAGCAGTGTGGAAAAAAAAAAAAAAGAAATGAGCAAAGAGAAAATTACAGCCCTACAGTTCCCTGTCTCTACACTTTCCTGTTGGATGTGACAAGGGTGTAGCAATCTTCACTTTTCTACATCCGCAGCACAGCTGCTCTGTCCCGTATCTGGAAAAGACCAGAATCTCCCGATGTATCTTGCTCTCTATAAATTCAAAAGCAGTGTTTTGCACCTGTAGCCTGGAAGGGAGAGTGGGGGTGGTAGAAACACAGGGATGCACTTTGTGTGCAGCAGGGACATGGTAGATGTATAGATGATAGTGTGTAAGGGCCACAACATGAGAGATGAGATGGGGCAGTCATAGCAGAAACGACCCATTTCTGTTGTTTCCAGAACATTACTAGAACATCCTCAGTTGCCTGGCAGGTGTCCCCTGTATCTGAACACTAAGAGTTGGAACTATACATTTTTCTGGTCAGGTCTTTGTCTTTTCAAGTGTGACTTCCCCCTCTACTGAGCTGAAAGGATCAGGAGAAGGTATCCATAAGTCTTCAGCAGCTGGAACCCAACAGGAGAAGGCAGTGCCCACAGCACCAGGAGAGGCAAGAGCAGCACAGCAGTTTTGGAAGGGAAAGAAGCAGGGAACTTTTAAATTGCTGAGCATGAACAAGTTCTTTCCAGAAAACTGGATTACAAATAATCCTTCTGTAAAATTACTAGGGAAAAAAAAAAATAAAATAGCTGACCTCAGTTCATCTTTCCCTTTTGAGGAGAAAAAAAAGCCTGGAACATTTCTAAGACATGCATTTCTATTCACAGAAGGTCCTGATGTATCATCTGCACCAGTGTCCAATCTGGATTTTTAAGTGAAATCAGATTTGTGGGTCTGTTTGTGCATTCACAGTGTTGTCAGATGAAGGCAATATCATGTAACACAAAGCCATACACTTTTCCCTAGTCGCCCTAATTGTATTCTGCTATTAAATGATCATCATGCAAATGCTGAAAGGGGAAGAACTTGTATGGTAGTGGAAATCCTCTCTGTTCCTGTAATCTATTTATTGAGGCTTTTCCAATTATTTTTATATTAAAAAAAAAAAAAGTAAGAAATATGAGTACAAAGAAACTACAGAGGAAAGGCATTTGTGATTGGATTAGTGAATCCAGAACAAAATCATCAATAGATGTCTTTATTATTAAAATAGAGTAGCAATTTTGGCTGAATGATTAGCCAAAGTTTCAAAGCCTTGCAGAGTTGTTTCTATTAGCATAAGAAATAAGCAGTGTAAGTCAATTGTACTCTTGGCATAATCTTAAAATAATCTTGTTTACTTACCCCCCCAAAAAAGGGAGGAAAAATTTCACCCAAGGCCCACTTTCCTGAATGCAATAAAAGTGAAAGCATCATCAAAGACTGTTATTCTCCTTCAGGAATTCCCAGATCTGCCACCTTAGAGAGCTCAATATTCAAGCCCTGCTGGCTGACTGCTCCTTCTCCACAGCACACAGCCAACTCTTCCTGCAAGACTTACGCCTTCTCACTAGCAGGCTTCAGCCAAGAACCCCTGTGTTTGCAGCAATGAGTTGCCCATGCCATTGCCTAAGTTCTGATACACCACAGCCTTTTGTGGCACTGGCCTCCACCAGAAGAGACGCAATAATTCCCAAGGAAGCCTGAAGGACATTTCAGGCTTATCTGTGTCTGCAGTTTGGGGAAGTGGGGAGGACCAGAGACCACTCAGCAAGTCATCTTCAGCAGTTTTTAGCTTGAAAAGGATACAAAAGCTGCCAAGAGCAGAGCTGATTCACTGCAGCCTCTGTATAGGTACTGTCAAATCCTTTCCTACTGGAGGAAAGGTGTCCAGGTTTGCTTGTCCCATAGCACGTGAGCCATGGCACCAGACCAAGAATTTCACCTAGGAGCTGGGGATGTCTTTGTGTTCATAGTGGATCTGCTACATTTTACATTAAAATCTCCAGTCAGCTGGTGTTGCCCCTCTAATCTTTCAAAAATTCTTTTCCTCATGCCTTGCATTGCTTCAGTGACATCTCCCAGTGAATATTTGCTAATCTTTTATTTCCAATAACACGGATAAGACATAAGATTTATACAGGCTCTGTCTCTTAACTTGTCTCCTTCCTATTTACTTATTTTTAATTTCTTTTTCCTGAAGTAACATCACCACAAAAAATTTCTTCTCCTGCAGCACAGCAATTGGGTGTAACCTTTTACTCTGATTTGTCATTTCATTCTCATATTAACTGTGAAGACCTGTCAATTCCATTTATTTAGCATCTTTAAAATCTGTGCTTGGTTAATGACTGAGGCAACTAAAACTCTGGTGCATGCCTTGGTTCTTTCTCAGCTTGAATATTTAAATGGGTTTCTTGCTGGTCCTGCATTTATTCTATCTAAATTGCAATCTGTACATTCATTTGCCTGGCCTGATTTTTTCTTTTTTTTTTTTTTTTGCATGCTTCACATTCTTCTCATGAAACTCTGTTACTTGCATCACTCCTGTTTTATTATTCTTATTTTGCATATTCCATTTATGATTTTGATACAGGCCTTGTTTTATTTAAACCATTTTCTTATAGGGTCTAGGGAGGAGGCTGTTGTATGAGGGCAGGGTGGGGGTCTAATACCACAAGTCCCTTGTCTCCTGAACTGGTGTTTGTCTGTCTCTTCTCATACTGTCCTGACAGTTGCCCAAAGATTTCATCTAAGAACAGAAGTTGGAGGGCTAAGTCTTTGCACATGATTTGACCCTTGCAACAAGATGTAACCCAAAATAGTCAATGGAAGTGTAGCTTAACATTTCAAATATGCCTGGAGATAACAGTCATTTTGCAGCAGGTGCTACCAGGTATCTGATGAATGTTACAAAAAGCATACTGGGAAATCCTGTTGCTGTTACAAATCTGGTGCATCTTTATTTCCTGCTCCACTCTTCTTGCAAAGGCATTCTTTGTGATAGATATATTAAACCATATCTCCCCATTACAACAGCAGTACTTTTCCATCACCTTTAATTATGTCAGATGCAGCATGCGGCTCAAGCTCACTTCCATTTACCTGATGCATTACTGTCATTTTGAAGGGCAGATGTTCTTACATCCCATGCTTCAACAAGCTCAGCTCTTTACTATTGCTTTACAGAGACGTGGCTCCAACGAGAGGTGCTGCTTGTGTGTGACACACCGACTGGATCTGTACTCCACACAGCCACGCACACAGATGCTTCCCTTAAACTACTGCAGTTTGTTACCGTTCTGCTCCAACACATCCACTGTACATTGGTTTTACGGGTCTACTTGGGATTGCTATGGCAGTATTCTGGAGTATTTATCTGTTTTTTTTGTGTAAGGGAAATGCTCATCATGTACTGCTATCTGGAGATGAGCAATTCCAGTTCATAAGCTCTCAAATTTGTTTTCATTCTGTAATGGAGTGAAAAGCCCATCTTTTGAGAGGCTTCACAGGCTCATATTTTGCAAAATTCTTGACTTGAAGAATAATCTCCCAGACTTTGGCTTGGAAAACTGGAGATTACTACAGCCTTGAGAGACAAGGAGTCTTGGCCCTCAGAAGTGCTCTTCTTCACACATTCCTTCAAATGGTCACCTGTTGGAGAAGCATTTCTGGGAGAAGGAAAAAGGATATTTGATGAAAATCCAAGTATGATCTAGCCAGCAATTCTCATCCTCTTTACACTGAATCTTCAGAAACAGCCTTTCACATTGCCCTTCAAAATACGTTTACCACACAGTGTGCTTTTCAGCTTCCTTGTTTGCTCTCCACCATGAGAAACTGGTCAAGCAGGCCATAGTAGAAGGCATGGAAGCATCATAAATCTTGAAGGACCTGATGAAACTTTTAAGGCAGCTCCTACCTCCCCAGCCCAGGAGAAGGTGTGATGCAAAACACATGGTTGCTCTGGTAATGTCACACCATCCCTCTGGCGACTGTAGCAGCAAGGTGTCAGCACAGCATGCCTCAGTGGCTTCACCATCCTTAGATGCAGAGAGGGAGACAGCAATATTATCTCCAGTAAATCTCACCTATCCTGGCGCAAGGTCCCTCTGGGAGTACACGTGGCTCTAAGGCTGGCCTTTCACTTCTTCCTACAAGAGCAAAGGAAATATTTTTTTTCTCAGACCTCTAAAGAAAGTTTACACCTTTATTTCTGAAACACCAAGGAAGGAATGCTTTAAATAATACATTTCCAGAGTGCTTGTGTGCAAGTGTCAGGTACGTATGAACTCATTTGAACTGCAGAGCATTGGAAAAATGGTATTCAAACAGCACACCAGAAGTCAGCTGTGAAACCACTCTGCCGCTACAAAAAAGCCACTGAAGAGCATGAGATGTGCCTTGGGAAGGGAATTGCCACCACCAACAGCTCCCAATCATGGTGCTGAAGGTCTAGTACCCTGTGAGAGACATAACTTCTGGCAGAGGGAGAGGGGCAACAGCTACATTCCCCTCAACCTTTCTTGAAATGAAGAAGATTGTTTAAAAGACCACAACAGCCATTTGACCAGTCATAGGCAAGCAGTTAATGAGTTATAGGTAATGTATTTTGATTACTTTGAAGAGAAAGTGATTAGGATAACATGCTGAGAAGAGTCATCAGTTTTGCAATGGAATTGTTATATTTGCAGTAATGACCTGAAGAAGACTACCCACAATATTTTTCTCTTTTACTTATTGCAAACAAAAGATACAGTGTTGTGAGTCTGGGCACAGATTGAGAAGAAAGATGACAGATTAATGAAGCTAGTGTTACACCTTGCGTATAGTTAGGAAACTAAAAGACCTTCTTGCATGACCACATGGAAGGAAACAAGATCCCTCACAGTACATGCTCCCAGGCTAGAACCTGAAGCTTATGTTTTCATACATCCTTGGGACTCCATAGCCTGTTCAGGCATCAGAGAAGACAATTAAAAGAGCAAACATCCTTTCTCATTGTTCTCAGTGGGAATTCTTGGTACTAACCATTCTGAAACGATATCCTTAATATGCTGATTTCAGAGCATTTACACCCTGTGGGAGTTTTGTCCTCTGACTCTGTCTAACTACAGTGGATGGATAACTGAATGAGTAATTGGTTTTATCAACTAGGCAGCAGAATCAGACAGATGAAAAAAATCACAGATAATCTTCATCAGAAAATGTCATGTTCTACAGCATTCTTGGACTACGTGGAATTCTCAGGGACCATATGTGTCTTTTGCAGACCCACAGGGCAGTACAAGCATAACATGCTTAAATGTTTGAGTCTGATCCTGTATATTAAAAAAACTGAATAGAAAAATTCAATTCCCTTTCAGAATCTTATTGAATATACAAAGTGTCTGCAGCTTGAGCATAATAATGCCAACAAAAGCAACCAGATCTTTTCTCCTCGCTGAAAGTTAATCTGTTGTTGCACTGAATGTTATCACCACAGAGGGAAAAATTCAGCATCTGACATTACTCTGGAGTGAGGTTTCTCTATGATTTTCAGAAGAAATCCCACTCTACATAATCAAATGCCTTTCTGCTGAGGTTGAGGTTATTAATACTATATTGAGTTTTGCATTTTGCTTTGATTAAAACAATTAAATTAACTTCCTTATATCAGAAGATATAGAATACCTTCCCAACTTCAAAATCCACCTCAACTTTGTAGTATTGCAGGTTACACTTACTCATGTATTCTGGCAAAAAAACCCTTAGGCCCTGGACTTGGGAATCGTTAAATATGTAAGTAATCTGAGAGATATGAAACAGTAACAAAGTACAGTTTCACATTGTTAGTAGTTGGTTTCTGTTTCTGGCCATTGTACACTTTTGTTACATGAACACTACCATTTGTTTATGTATGAAATATTTTTAAAAGAGCAATGTTTAAGGGAGTTATTAGAAATAACACAACTAATTTTTAGTGATGTGATGTTAAAGCAGAATTGTCCTTAGTATATGAAGAGAGCTCAAAAGATGTTTACTGGCAATTTTGGAGGTAAAACAATGGGACTTTGGGGGGTTTGTTTTCCATTTGCTACTCCTTAAATGCTATTTAGAATTAAAAATTCGGTATCTTTCATGTTTACTTACAAGCCAAACAAGATACAGTCCTTAGACGAGGCCTTTATGACTATTGCTAACATTTCGGAGACAGTGGATTCCCACTTTTATGTTTTGAGATTTTTGGGGGGGAACTATTTTCTCTTAATTCTGTTGCAATTACTTTCCACTAACTTTGTCTCAGCTAATAATAACCATGAACTTAGCTTTGCAGCTAAAATATTTGGAGAATCTTCTTCTCATAATATGCTTTTTAAATCAGTCCCTTCCCACTATCAGTCTGACTACCTGAAAATGATCCTCTCAAGATCAAGAGAATGATTAGAAACCTGGGAATTTCACCATTCTTACCACAGATTTTTCAACATAATTTTAAGATGGAGAAGTTAATTTTTCACTGTTGTTTCATGGCAGCTTTTCGTATGGAGTACAAGGAATAATCAGAACTGCAAACCCGTGTGTTATATCAAATCAGTGGGTTTCAATTCCAGTGGGCACTGGTCAGAGTCCATCCCAAGAAGATTTTTCCTGCATTTAAAATTATATATAGAAGGAGTGAAAAATATTCCAACAATTGAAACAGGGCAAAAAAGAGTCACAACATCTCACACAGTAGCTACAAGCACAAGAAAAATATGGATTTAGCAGAGATATGGGCAATGCCCAACTCCAGTTATTTGACCACAAAGCAAGAGCAGGTCTCAGAAGATCTATTCTGTATCCAAAGCAAAGGTTTATCTGCAACTGAAATATATTCTAGAGTGGAAGGGCTAGACAGTATCATGGAAAAGAGGACTAAAATATGCATGTGTGTGCATGTGGAAGGTGCAGTTTCTTGGGGTTTCCACCTGAAGAAAAGCTGGAAAGGCAGGTCTTCTTGGTCCTCTCCTCTTTTCTTTAGGGAAATCACTGGAAGCCATGAGAACCAGGTGGAAGATGCTCTTGCACTGATTCACTGGCTTTGTCCCTGTGAGAGCAGAATCAACAATGAACATTTGAAAGCTGCCAATACTAGTAAAGGCCTACAGAAACATTTTACAGGTGCATTTTCAGGGCCAATGAATTAAACTGGTCTTAATAAAGCCAAGCAAAAAAGGCTTAAATAGGACTTTAGCGATACAAAAGGCTTCAGCAGTCCTCTGCCCAAGGGTGTCTTTCTCTCTATATGTAGTACCTTGCCACCAGGCTAGGTTTTAATTACATGAGCCATGGGCAAAGCTAAGTCTGCTTTCTAATATCATTTTGATGTCGGATTCCCTGTATCTTTATGAAATTAAGGTCCCTGTTATGCTTATCCTGTCTCAAGCCTTAAACAGCAAGTGTCATTGTCAAAGACAAGAGATGTGCTCTGTACTGGTAGTGGGAAAAAAGCTGACTTCCCCACATTTCAGCGAATGATTTTAAACCCCTACACACCTCCAGTAGCTCTCAGAGATAAAACTTACCACTTGTGCCATGACAATTAAAAGGCATTAACCCCAGGACATACCAGACACCGGTTGCCAAAATGCCTTTCTATTAATTAGTGCAGCACTTAGTTCAGATTTCCGGTTCTTTTCTGGAGCATAAAACCTGCAATACCACAGCATGGGATGAATTTGCTGCTGCAGCTGCAGCACTCAAATCTGTCATGAACTCTCTGCCTCCTAGTTCAGAGTCGCACCACCTCCGAAATGACCAGATATAATTGGGTTCAGTGGAGTTCAAAGCTACGCTCCAGCTTTCTCATATCAAAGACCATTGATTCAGTGGCAGCTGAAGCACACTGAAACGCTGGGAGAGTGGGAGGGAAGTTATGAGCAGAGCACATTCAGGTCTGTCCTGTTAGATGCCAGGATGCAATACACAACCAGCTTTTGGTTGAGCTTTCAAGAACTCACATGTGATCCCCTGGGGAAGACTTTATTTCCTCCTCTAATTGCTGCAAAACATATCTCACTTTTGCTAATGTACTTTGCCTATTTCATGGCTTGATACTTCTGAGACTCATTTACTTTTTTTTTTTAAATGTCAGGACTTTCTCCTGAGATTGTTCATTCATTATATTTATTTTCTTGGACATGATTTAACAAACCATCCCTGAAGAATTTGCAGCGATTAACTTTGTTGAACAGTAGCTCAAGTGAGAGTTAAAGGCAAATGGTCTAAAAGAAAGTAATGGGCCAAAGCACCTCCAGGGTATTCATCTGCCCCAAAACTCATTTCAATAATTCTTTCCCACAAAGACTGAAAAAAAAAATAAGGAAAGAAAAAGGAACTTTAGTTGTTGGTTGTATGCGAATACAACGTGCAAATATAGATAAGCATATCAGATTAGGGTTCTTTTGTCTACCTAGTCAAGATACTCAAATCTTCACCCTTATTCCTTGTTGATCCTTATGCACTGTCCATTCCTACCTCACATTCACTCCTGTAAGCTCCAGGCCAGCAATAACAATTGCCCAGCTACACCATCATGGGACAGCCGTTTGGCTCACATTGCTCTCAGTGGCAGCTCTCATCTTGTGGAGACCTGACCTGATATTCACCAGCAACCTTATTCTAGGAAGAAGACCTACTTGCTGCCTCTGCTAAAACTAAGAAAGCTGTAAATGGCAGTGTAGCTACCTCACCTTGTATGGTTTTCGGAGATGGATATGAAGAGTTTCCTATATAGTATAACACACTCATAATCTTGGTCATCCTGCAGGCTGTAATTGCAAAATAATTTCTGATGAACAGAACGTGATGAAGGGTCTGAGTGCCCAGAAGTCCATCTGGTTTTCTCCAAATACACCAGCTGTACACAACTGAGAATGCATGTCCATTAGTTCTGTGCACATAATTCCAAACAGTACAATTTCATAAAAAAATATTACTTCTTTCCATGAACCCTGCCTCACCAGGGACTGTGCCCTTTCTTAAAAACACTGGTTAGACATACTTATTCACAGATGAAGAATGTAACTTAGTCACTGTTGCTGCAAATAGCTCACTGGTTTTCTGTAGATGTTTTATGTGTCTGTTCCTGACACAAGCAGACGCAGTCATTTGGTCACTTGTTTGGTTTTGAAAAATTCAGCATTAAAAAAAAAAAAAA